ATACCAGGTTGGCTTCTCACATCCACCTGGGCTAGCAATGAGGATGACCAGAATGCCCTCATTCTCAATACTGCTAAGCAGACAAAGAAAAAAAATTCAGGGGGAAAGTATGGATGTGAGTGTACTGATCCCATTGAGACACTACAGTAGAGCATCCAATGCTTCCGCTAGAGGACCCCTGTACCCGAAGACAGTTTGTTGCTGAACCTGGAGAATCACATCTAGTGTCTCCAAACTGCAACACAAGTTCTTGAACCCCTCTGGGTGTAGGGACCACTCCTCTGGGTCCAGGGACTGCTGGCTGATGTAGTTTACCTGCTAAATGTCTTGCCCTGGAATTTGAACAAAAGACAAGGCTGGAAAGTGAAGCTGTGCCCAAGCTAAAATCTATTACATTTATTTTGTTGCTGCAATGCTTCTGTTTCCTCCCTGATTAAGTCTGCCTGCCAATTGTCTATGCCAAGCATGTACATGGCTGACAAAGCTGGAATGTAAAGTTCTGTCCAAAACAGAATCTAATCTACGTCTCTTGCCATGGTGAGATTTCTGGTTGCGAGCTGTTGAATGATGGTGTGGCCAGAAAAATGGAAGAAAGCCAGGAAAAACCGGGTCCTTAGCGATAAAAAAATCAGTCTGTCCAGCGACCAGACTGACTTGTCCAATGATGACTTAATGTTGAACTTCACAGATCTGGAGTGAAAATGGGCAAATGGAAGTGCCTCAAAGGAAGCGACTATCAGAGTCCTACGTTTCTCCTGTGGAAGAAACACTCTGGTTTGAGCTGTGTCCAGGACTAGATCTAGATACTCCAAATGATGTGTTGGTTCCAGAGATGATTTCTGAAGGTTTAGAATCCATCTAAACCAATGAAATGTCTGGACAGTTAAAGACACATTGTCTCCAGGGCTGCCCTATTAGCTGCTTATCTTGTGTTCGCCGCTTGTGACTGCCTGGCGCCACTTCCAGATCCGGGGCAGCTGCACTATCGCCCCCCCCCCCCCCCCGGGTTGTTAAGCAACTGCCAGGCCGGATCTCAGTGGGCCCCCAACAGCCCTGGGCCAGCGGCACCGACTGCCCTGCCAATAGTTCTGACCCGATACCATCTTAGCCTAGGCAAGGTCACATTTTGTAATAAGAAATTTACAGCTTTTTAAATCATACTGCTGCTGCATTTTGTGATTTGTTAGGAATTTATTCATGCAGACTTGTGAATTTCCAGAAAGGTCTTTTGGTTTCTGCAGGAACAGGAAACTTTGAACATCCCGGACTCTGTTTGTTCCATTAATTACCCAGATTGGAAGGAGATCAGCACACTTCCACCTGCTGATCTCTCCTCTGATCTCTGAATTGTGTGTTACATCACTTTCGTTTTCAACTGTCACTGTTGTAGCCAGAGAAGAAGCTAATGAAGAAGATCTGTCCTTAATCAGCTACTTTAGGGTCCCTAGGTGACATTAGGGGTCTAACAGACCCCTGATGTCTCCATAAAGAGAACCTGTCACATCTAAAAAACTAAATTTAAAACATTTTTTTTTTTTTTTAACGTTTCTCGCCCCCACGTACATTCACATACAAACACAAAAATGCATCAGGTGCTCCTACATGCAAAAATGACGATTGTGACACACGTTACATATCAACTCGAATGTCACAGTGCGAGCAATAATTCTAGAGCCATCAATCACTGTTAACACTAAATTAACACTAAATTAATGAACAGTAAAAGCTTTTAAAGTGTCGCCTGTGGGCAAATTTGGGTATGGCAGTGTTTTGCATGCAATTTTGAAACTTGACATGTTTAGTTTCTATTTACCCGGTGTGACCCCATCTTTTATATTTTACCAAAAATGTGGGCAGTAATAAATGTTTCATAACATAATGAAGGGGCAACAGTTTTGTTTTGTTTTTCTAAATTAGCGGCACTTTTTTATTTATATAGTAAAAAATGAAAACCCCAGTGGTGATTAAATACCACCAAAAGAGTTACGTCGCTGCATGATGGAATAAATGTCAGTGAAAGTACCTCAGCGCTGAATACCGAAAAACGGCCTGGACCGGAAGGGGGTTTAACACCCCAGTTTTCAAGTGGTTAAATACTAACCTTAAACCCCAAGTAAAATTGATACTATAAAAGCTTTATTATCATGTCAAAATACTATTATGGCAATAGTAAAAGTGATAGTGCTTCCATAAAAAAAAATTATATTAAAAGGTTTGCTGCCCACTTACAATGTCCCATTATTATCAGCACTAATAATCTGCGGTGTAAAAGAAAATCATCCGTACGCAATTGGCAGGTGTGGGAAGCAAAGTTCCTTTTCGGTTCAAACACATTGACATTTGTTATAAGATAATATCAGAACTCCATCGTATTCGGTACAAATATGATTCCATTTTGTTGGGAAAAGCCTTACCAAGCGGGTCAACCACTGTTGCCTCTTACAAAAAATATAATTAGCCAGATATTCTAGATTCAAAAGGATTCCATACAATGCAAAAATCTGGACAACAGGAAATGCACTTCCAATGACTCCAATACACCGAGACATGAATAATTTCTAGTTGAAAATGTAGATGACAGTTCAGTGGTGAATGGTCACAGTAATTGTTTCCGTTTCTTTGAATAATCTCCATAATTGCTTCTAATGATTGCACAAATGTCTTTCATACCTTGCTAAGCTTTATCGGGGCTGAAACTCATTACACACACATCTGAACTGATAATAAGTTCTCCAGAACCCGACATGAAGTTTAATGAGATCAGGAGAGTGTGAGGTTTGGACTTGCAGCCCGGTGAATCGGTGATTGACAGAACAATGTAAGCGGGAATGTGACGCGCTGATATAATGGGACATTTTATCCGTACTTTGAGGTATTCATATTCCGCCAATATTGACATAGTTACACATCATTTAAAGACCAACTCTGGTCTAAACAATAACCTTTTATCAAGCTTCAAATGAAAGAACTATCTGGCTCAAGGCGGTTACTGACGTGTAAGTTAGTTGATACCCTAAACTACACTTCCAGAATAAACTGCTGTCTATCTACGTCTGCCTTGCTTAAAGCTGAACTCCAGGCAAATATAAAGTAAATAGTAATATTTATTTTACAAAATCATTCAATGCACTTTTTAAATACAAACAGGGCTGACTTGGTATTGGCCTCTTTCAATCTCCTATAGAAGTACTCAAACTGGGAGACAGATAAGCAGCACAAGAAGCCAGTCAGTTGTGCTGAATTACTGATGTGCTAATAAGGAACATGCTGATAGCAGGAAAGATCGGAGTGAGAGATTAGCACCTCATTCTTTTGCTTCTCCTTTTACTGTCCAGGCACAGGCTGGGAGGAAGTTACAAGACCTGTAAGGGCCACATTCACACCAAAATTGGAGCAAAAACGTTACCAGAGGTCCATTGACTTGCAATTTAATCCTCTGTTGACTTCCTTTGTCTTCTGTTGCATTTTTTTTAATTACTATTATTTTTTGCCAATTAACTTTTTTTGTTGTTAAAGTGGTTCTAAAGCCTCCATTTTTTTTGCCTATATCTACTGCTAGCAAGCGGTAGATATAGGCAAAAATTTTTTTTTTTTTTTTTTTAAACCCGCTTTAACAGCGTTTTAAACTTACCTCGTTATCGCTGCGCGCTCACGAGACGAGTATCCGGAACTGCTCGTGTGGCCACAAAGTAGAGCTGCAACAGTTAATCGATTTAGTCGATAAAAATCGACGATTGAAAACGTTGGCAACGTTTTCGATCGTCGATTCGTCGGCTATTGATTGATTTGCCTGTTCGGTACTGTTCCGGGCTCCACATGCGGCCTGAGCCACACGTCACACGCTGCTCCCGCTGCGGCTGCCGAATCTTGGGGCTGGCGCATGCGCAGTGCGGATTCTCGGCCGGGAGACGAGCAGAGACGCAAGGTAAGTCTATGGACGCGTGCACCGGCATGCAGACAACGCGGGATCAGAAGTGCCTGCAAGCAGAGAGGAGTCAGCGCTGGATCGGAGAGCCGCAGCCGCACTGGTGGGACAGATGAAAACATCAGGAAAGAAGAAGAAGATCAGATTAAGAGACATCATTTAAGGTAAGTGCTGACATTAACATGGGGGGAGGGAAACATTTTTTTTATCCTTTAATGTCACTTTAACTTAAATAACATGTTCTGAGTGGACAAACTTTTATGATTTTTTTTTACTTCTGTTCAATTCTGTCACTTTGACATCTGGTTTTGACGCGTTGCATTACGCTGCGCTGAAAAAAAAGTAGAGCATGCTCTACTTAAAGTCGGCCTTTACCCATATCTTTAAAATAACAAACACATCTTTAGAAATGTTTAGTAATGACAATCTACAAACACATGCTTCTAGATAAATGATTTTTATTCTTTGCATACCTTATTTTCCTTTTCCTCCATATTCTTCTTACAGTGATCATTTTTACTAAGGGCAGATGAATCAATCTCCCTATACTTCCTGGAACTCTGGCATGTGACCATGCTCATCATCTCAGGGGAGGAAAATGCCTTTCACTGACATCTCGAGACATTACAGATGAGATTTCCCAGCAATACTCTGCTGATGTAACCTTCCCAAGATGCAATGCCTTGTCACTTACACCATTTTGTCAGAACTGAACCAGGAAGTAGATGAATTCAATTTGTAAGTAAATGAAAAGCAAGCTTGTTTAACTAATGAATGTAAGATGATTTTAAATCAGCATGCAGAGCTGCATGCTGCTGTAATTTTTAGTGAAAGGGGGTAAAGGTCCATATTAAGAGGCAATTCTGGCACAGGGGTGTTCCTTTGGGTGCCAAAGCTTCTGTGCCTCCAAGCTCCAAGAAATGGAAAGCCAATTATTTGTAATTGAATCCTTAAATGGTTTAGTGATTTCTGCCATTTAGAGTAGACACATCGTCTTATGCAGATGTTTATGTTGTTCTGCAGACCGCACAACATTATAAATGCAACAAGATAAATAAATAGAAAAAAATTATACCTTCTCCCACCAATAGGTTTTAGGAATGGGCATGTGATCGACACGAGCTGAGCGTACTTTCATAATTTTATGAACTTCAGAAGTCAGATCTGGAAAATTCCTATTGAGATCAATGTTCTGAGCTGTCATTCTTCCATTTGTCCACCCATTGTAGCCAGCTCCCTGGAAGAGAAATACATTGCCACGGATTACAAACCCCCTGAAAGGTCCCATAACTGGTCAGCACATGGTTCTTCCATAAGGACTGTATCTCTCTTTTCATATAACCTTCATTTCCCCCCAAAATATATTGCTGAAGCTGAACTTCAAGCAGATTAGTAAAGATTGCTTTTTAATAGGGCTGTTACTGATTTCGTGTTCGATTAATCAAAATTTTTTTCACTGAGATCTCGAGACATTACAGATGAGATTTCCCAGCAATACTCTGCTGATGTAATTGATTAATTATAACGCACATACAGATCCAACTACATTGGCCTATAAACATACAGCACAGCAATGAAGTAATAAAATGAACTAGGATCACACTAATCCAGCATGTTATTAATCTCACGTGCCCCACTCAATATGGCCACCGCTTGAGTGGGGCAACTCAGAATAATAACATGCTGGATTAGTGTGATCCTAGTTCATTTTATTACTTCATTGCTGTGCTGTATGTGTATAGGCCAATGCCTTGACTGGCGCTCGTGCAGAAAGTTTCTTGGGCAAACGCACCGGCCCAAGTGGCTCCGTCGGCTAATGAAGGGAAGGGGGGAGGACTCCTCCCCCCTTCCCTTCGTTAGCTGACGGAGCCACTTGGGGACATCAATGTCACCGGACTCCTCCCCCCTTCCCTTTGTTAGCCGACGGAGCCACTTGGGGACATCAAAGTCACCGGACTCCTCCCCCCTTCGCTTCGTTAGCCGACGGAGCCACTTGGGGACATCAACGTCACCGGACTCCTCCTCCCTTCCCTTCGTTAGTCGACGGAGCCACTTGGGGAAGGGGGGAGGAGTCCGGTGACGTCGATGACCGTGACGTCACCGGATCTCCGACGGGACTCCCGGAAGCCGGCGGAGAGGTGAGTATTTTCATTAGCGATCAAACATTTTTTAATTGTTCAAAAAGATGAATGATTAATCGAGAAATTAATCGTTAATTTGCACAGCCCTACTTTTTAATACAGGGACATATTTATTTAAACTATTAATAATAATTAAAAAAACAGCAAACAAATATGTTTTTATATTAGCTTCCTGTTCTCAGCCTGCACAGGAGAGGAAAAGTCAGAAAGGCAAGCCATTCAGGCTTTGCATTTTACATTGCTGAGAAACTTGCTAATACAAAGAACAAGTAGAATTAAAAGAGTGAGTACAAGTCAAGTTAAATAATAAGGTGGGGTTGGAGAGGGTTAAATCCTAAGCGAGTAAACAATAATCTGAGTACGGTTAATGAGTAAGGAGTTTTCGCAGAACTTAGATGGCAATACAGTTATTTGGTATGGGTCCAGTTCCCCGTAGTATTAAGGCTTGAAATTGTAAATCAAACAGTCCTGATGACAACAGGTGCAACTGCACTTAGAATACTTGCACTTTGGAGGGTTTGGCTATGGAGGTACAGGGGGTCCTTGGTGGATTCAGACTCGCAGGAGGGAGCAATCTGGAGGTTCGTGGAGGGTCCCAGGAGACAGCAGGCGTTCTGGCACAATCTAGGAACGCCATGGTGTCTCGTCTGGGCGTTTAAATAGGCCCTAGAGGAGAAGGAGGAGCCGACGTACGCAGCGGCGCACTTCCGCGTTCCACGGTGCGAGGTCCCGAAACCCGGAAGTGAGGAACGTGCGCTCCACCCTGGAACGCAATCGGCCCAGCGACTGAGCGGCTGGCTGCCGCTTCCTCCCTCCTTGCCCGCAGCTGACGGCGGCGGCCGTTACAC